AATTGATTGTAAGAAATTATTTATAAGCTATATTATAATTATCATCAATGATATTATAGGACTTTTATGGAGCCAACGCGACAATAAATATGTCGGTTATATTGACTTTGATGATGAAAATGTTGAGTTTGAAGCATTTGGCGAGCAGTGTCTCCACAATGTTCAGGGTTCAGAGTATATGAGCGATCATAATAAGCGTAATAACAATGATGAAAAGGAGTATGAACGGACTTAGCAACTCAAGTGCATCAAATTGTATGGCATTCAATATTACATCCATTTAACTTTCCAATAGCTTATTTTGGTGTTGAAACGATAAATGCCATACTCTTAATATGACACTTTTCCACTTAGCCGCAAAGCTTGAATGTGCGGCAATTCATATATATGGTTCTATTTGCGATGGTGCAGGTGAAAATAGGAGGCATATCAAGAGCTTCGATTGGTTTGCAACAATTTGGAAAGTGAATGACAAAGTTGAAGTTCAGTTGTCGAATAAACTAGGAAAAAAGAGTTATCAACCGGCTAAAATAATTTCTTTTAACTCAAAACGTACCAAATTTTTAATTCAACTTTTAGGCTCTACACAAGCTTATCATAATGTTTCACGTTCGTCTTTACGACCCCCAATGCCAGGCAAAATTATTTGGAAAATTAATGATCAATGTGAAGTCCGAAGTACAATTGACAATGAATGGTATCTTGGTAAAGTACTTACTGAAATCTTGACGGATAATTATCTGGACATCGAAGTTATAATTGAGAGTAATGGAAAATTTGAATTTTTTATATATATTGTGATATTCGCCCTGTATATAATGAAAATGAACATTGGGCATCACATCGTCTTCAAGAAGTTAAGAAATAATGTTTCTAAAAGTCATATTAGCAATGATGAGAACAAGAATATAAGAAAAATAATGTTTAATGGGTGGGAAATTAGTTGGCGGCATTTCCGTGGTGTATACGATCATACAACAAAACATATGACTGCAAAAGCTACCAAGTTGACAAAGCGACATATTTGGCTTACCACTTGGAGCAAAATGAGAGTAGACCTTGTGGAGCATACATTATCACTTGATGTTGAAAAAGTGATGGCAAATATTCCAGAGTTAAGTTACATTTCTCAAGGCACTCAGGTAAATATTTCAAAGTTAAACTATATATATATATATTCTTTGCTTTAAGCTATAATAATGGTTCTCATCTCTTTATATTATCATTAGTTATTTATTCACTATGCACGTATGTATCGGGACATTATGCATAGTCAAATATGCATTTCTTCTCTTAAAGATCCACGCTTAAGCACTTTGAAAGAAATAAAACAATGGTTTATTCAAGGTGACA